TTGCTATCCAGCGACATACAGGATATATGTTGGATAGTTGAAAAATATCCAGCTATATTCAGGGTATTATTCACATATATAAATGTTTTTTCTAAACTTAGCTGCAGCCGAGCTTCGCCCTATTCTTGATGTTACATGATGTTCTTGCTTTCTTCTGCCCAGTCCCCAGCCAAGTTACTGTATGTATACAGTATACTTAACTCTTTGGCTACCATAGAGACTGCTAACTACAGATTTTTAACTCATTTATTGACAGACCTCTAACTACTGATAAGTAAAATTGTCTGACATTTATAGACGATAAATACTAAAGTAGGTCTGTAATAGCCTCTGATGTTTCAGCACTTCTACACTTGTTCTCAATTTCTTTTACTAATTATATTTTATTTAAAGACTATTTACATTATATGTTTTAACTTTTTATTATCTATTTTTTAACTACTGGTATTTATAATATATTTTAAAAATATTTATAGGCTATATGTATTTCTATACACTATATTTAATAACTATTCTAACTGTATTAACAAGACATATTTTAACTATTTATTTAATATGTTATTACTATTTTTAATCTATTTGGGCAATATTATATCCACTATTTATTAGCTATTTTTAACAAGCTGGGATGTATTTTAACTATTTATTATCTATTTTTAAGCTATATTATCACTATTTTTGAACTATGTATTATCTATTTTTAAACTATATTATCACTATTTTTGAACTATGTATTATCTATTTTTAAACTATATTATCACTATTTTTGAACTATTTATTATCTATTTTTAAACTATATTATCACTATTTTTGAACTATTTATTATCTATTTTAAACTATATTATCACTATTTTTGAACTATTTATTATCTATTTTTAAACTATATTATCACTATTTTTGAACTATTTATTATCTATTTTTAAACTATAATATCACTACTTTTGAACTATTTATTATCTATTTTTAAACTATATTATCACTATTTTCGAACTATTTATTATCTATTTTTAAACTATATTATCACTATTTTTGAACTATTTATTAACTATATTAAACTATAATCGAACTATTTATTATCTACTTTTAAACTACAATATCACTATTTTTGAACTATTTATTGACTATTTTAAACTTTGTTGAAACACATTTCACCTATTTATTACATATTTTTTACCTATATTGTCACTATGTTTTAACTATTTCATACATATTTATTAACTATGTCGAAACTAAATATTTTTAATAATTTCCTTAAATAGCTCTATTTTTATCATATTTGAAACCTATTTAATTTCTATTCGAGTACATCAATTAAGTATTTGTTTAGAAATATATCATGAATAGGAAAAAAATATGGTTCCACTTGGATAGGAAAAAAATAGCTTTTCTGCCCTAATTTAAATAGGAAAAACCTCGAAAAAAAATAATAGTGAAAATAGGAAATAAATACTTTGATAAATAGGAATTAAATAGCCCAATAAAATAGGAATTAAATAGCAATTAAATAGTGTTTGTTTCTACAAGGGCAGTTCGATAAATTATCAACAATTATGTTAAGGTATGTCCCATAGCAGTTATGATTTATGCTTAATCTTCCTATGATTATGTATAATGAGTAATAGGATTTATATTCACTCCTTTAAGAGTCAATGTGACCCACTTACTCTGTCTTATGGCAGACGATTTTACTCGTCAAGGGGAGCGCGCTGTCACTTAATGGGTTAACATTACATCGTCATCTAGTTCACAAATAGTAAGGCGCAAACAAATGGTCTTGTCTATACGCTGTATCTGAGCTTATTGTAGCTCCTGGGGCAAATCCAATTAAAATGTTTATATATTGACACACTGCATAGTATATGTCTCAGTAAAGTATTTTTATATTCAACTAAGACCTGGAACCTTCTTACAGTAATTCTTCATTTCTTTATTTTGTAGAAAATTGTTCAACACATCACTTTATACAACGAAATATGGTCGACTATTAATTACTATTCTAATCACGGACCGGAATGGACGCTATAAATTGTTCCTGAATTTGCACACTATTCAATTAATATTGCTATTGAAGTAGATTTTTTGGCGATTTCACACAAGTTATTTCTTTGAAATACGAGTTTCACAAGTTCCTCTACTGGACCGAGTACTGGTAAATCAATGAAATATTGAACTATCGACGCTTCATAAAAAAATAAACATTATAAAAGCTTACAGAAATGGTTCCATTAAAGAACTTGCCAAATTTGGTTTGTTCAAATCATAAATGCATGATTTGTTCCCTGATTATCGTAATTCATACGCAAACTGAATATTTAAACTTTAAATAGTCCTAGAGATTGTTTCAGAATTTTGTTCCAATGCGATGTATACTGTAAAATACATTTATTGCTTAATTGGTACTTCAACGCGTATCTGCAAGTATTGCTAACTGAACTGTCAGCTCTTTCTGTACTATTTCTTCTCAATAAAGTCTAGCTCACTTTAAACTGTATATTCGAGTTGATTATACTTGTCTATATCACTGTAAACTGTACTAGGTAGCGGCAGCAAAACTTTATGTTACTAATGTTAGCGCTACTCTACTAAATTACTGGTATAAATACTGTAGCTGTCTTTTACAGTATATTAATTTTCAAGCGATTGGTTCTGATCGACTATTCTATGATACATTTATAGACATAGCCCCAGCGAGTTAACGCTCTATAGAGCGTCTTGTTTGTACACAGTTGTACGTTAATGATGGTCAAATTTGACGAAGTAAGAAAACACGCCCTGCAAGGGATTTGTGCGGCGGTTTCAGTCAGCAAGTAGAGCAGCCTCATGTTCTAAGGCATTCTGATTTTTTTTTGTTCATTCCGTTTGGGACCTCCAATTGAAACAATAATAATAATAATAGTAATATTTAAAATTTATATCGCGCATATTCTATAAAACGATGTCATGTGAGAAATCTAAACAAAAATTATATTGGCAACACGAGTACTTTACTAGCCTAATAATCGTACAAACGCTCGCTAATTATGCGAAAATTGCTGATTTCAGCAATAACAAACAGTTGAAATATAGAACTATTCCCATATATCTCTTGTTTGAAGAATTGCCGGAACATCGGCATCCGCAGTAAATGAGAAAATTTCTCTGACTCTTTTGATTTCAACTGAATTTTTAAGCCTAAACGACTTGATTTATCATGCAGAGCTTCTTATTTCCACACATTTTCAGCTATTTTGAAGAAACAGAATGGATTCAAAAACACTAGCACGGCAGGTGTAGCCTAATCACTTCCGGCAAGAAACTTCACCAATGGGAATTTAGCCGACGTTTTGGCAACCAAAATTTGCTTTTTTCCGGGCCGCCTGCAAATAAACGCCTGCTACACAGAGTTAATCTTTACCAAGTACTTACTACTATATATATTTTTTTCGTAGAAGGTGGTCACACTTGTAAACATTGCGGACGAATATATACTGAAATGAATTACCTAGAAAGTCATTTGAAAAGATGTCCAATGTTAGTATCTTGCGAATCCTGGGAATGTTCTCGTTGCGGGAGAAAATACAGTAGTAAAGATTATCGTATTGCACACGAGAAGGATTGTGGGAATCCCGAAACTTCAAAACGTCTGGTCAACATCAGTGTGAAATTTAAACAATGTCAACATTGTGGTAAAATATTTACAAGAGGAGACAATTTTACGAGTCATGAAAGAATACATAGTGGAGAACGTCCATATCAATGTCTACATTGTGATAAGACATTTACACGACAGGGTGACATGAAGATACACGAAAGAATACATAGTGGAGAACGTCGATATCAATGTCGACATTGTGATAAGACATTTACACGGCAAAATGACATGAAGAAACACGAAAGAATACATACTGGAGAACGTCCATATCAATGTCGACATTGTGATGAGACATTTACACGGCAAGATCACATGAAGATACACGAAAGAATACATAGTGGAGAACGTCCATATCAATGTCGACATTGTGATAAGACATTTACACGGCAAGGTAACATGAAGATACACGAAAGAATACATAGTGGAGAACGTCCATATCAATGTCGACATTGTGATAAGACATTTACACGGCAATATGACATGAAGAAACACGAAAGAATACATAGTGGAGAACGTCCATATCAATGTCGACATTGTGATAAGACATTTACACGGCAAGATCACATGAAGATACACGAAAGAATACATAGTGGAGAACGTCCATATCAATGTCTACATTGTGATAAGACATTTACACGACAGGGTGACATGAAGATACACGAAAGAATACATAGTGGAGAACGTCCATATCAATGTCGACATTGTGATAAGACATTTACACGGCAAAATGACATGAAGATACACGAAAGAATACATAGTGGAGAACGTCCATATCAATGTCGACATTGTGATAAGACATTTACACGACAGGGTGACATGAAGATACACGAAAGAATACATAGTGGAGAACGTCCATATCAATGTCGACATTGTGATAAGACATTTACACGGCAAGGTAACATGAAGATACACGAAAGAATACATAGTGGAGAACGTCCATATCAATGTCGACATTGTGATAAGACATTTACACGGCAATATGACATGAAGAAACACGAAAGAATACATAGTGGAGAACGTCCATATCAATGTCGACATTGTGATAAGACATTTACACGGCAAGATCACATGAAGATACACGAAAGAATACATAGTGGAGAACGTCCATATCAATGTCTACATTGTGATAAGACATTTACACGACAGGGTGACATGAAGATACACGAAAGAATACATAGTGGAGAACGTCCATATCAATGTCGACATTGTGATAAGACATTTACACGGCAAAATGACATGAAGATACACGAAAGAATACATAGTGGAGAACGTCCATATCAATGTCGACATTGTGATAAGACATTCGCAGATCAAAGTGGCTGGAAGCGGCACGAAAGAATACATAGTGGAGAACGTCCATATCAATGTCGACATTGTGATGAGACATTCGCAGATCAAAGTGGCTGGAAGCGGCACGAAAGAATACATAGTGGAGAACGTCCATATCAATGTCGACATTGTGATAAGACATTCGCAGATCAAAGTGGCTGGAAGCGGCACGAAAGAATACATAGTGGAGAACGTCCGTATCAATGTCGACATTGTGATAAGACATTTACACGGCAAGGTAACTTGAAGAGACACGAAGGAACACACGGACAGAAGAGCTATTTTGTTTAGGCTTTTAAAATTTCGTTTCTTTTTTACATGCCGCCGACGGCGGTGAGGCTTGGATTCTACCAAGTGCAATAATACTTTTGTGGATCGAAATTCGATACAAAAATGTATAATTGCATGGATACCATTTAAATTAATATAACTGGAAAGCTACATTCAGATAAACTGCCAGCCTTTTTTGAAGCCACATCTTGACTGGGATTGACCTTCAATTTTGGCTTTAAATTTTCCTGTTGGAGGTAGCGTTCCAGTTATATTCATTCCAATGTTGGATACTGATCACGTCAGAAGCTGTAACAACCGGATATTTAGGCTAACTGTTATCCAAGTGATCAAGAATGGCGCGAACGTAACAATCGAAAGGTTTCCATTTAATAATAACTAGAAGCGTTGTTTGTCCACGTGTCTCCCACAAAAACCGAAGAACTATACATGTATTTAACACGTCGAGAGAAACATTATGTTTTGTGGACACGAGACTGCCTGAAGCCGAGGAAACCATTGGCAGCTGAGGGTCCACAAAACATATTGTTTCCCGAAAGTCCCAGACCCCCAGGGAGTCAATAAGCATTTTATTATATTCTCCATCATTTATAGACCTGGAGCGAGGGGGATTCGGCGAAATATTACTCGAAATGTTGGTATTTTCCGAGAGGCTCTGCCCCGAGGGAAGTGTCATCACTGAGGATATATATTTTTTCTAAAATCGTTGAATCTCCCGAGCAGAGGGTCTATAACATAGAAATAATAGACATTTAATGCGTGCTCATATCTTTTTTCAGTAAAAAAATTGTCTCCACAAAATGGCGCCATTGAAAAGGGCATTTTGGTTGGTCCCAGACTCCTGAGACAGGGAATTTCGCGTGGTTGCAGGAGGGCGGATTGTTTTTTCAACTGAAAAGTTTGCAATAAATTTTATATCGGGACTTAAAATGGAAAAAAAGTTTGGTAAAGAAGAAAAAGTGTATAAAAACCCATTACAGTGGGCTTTTTTACGAAAAGTAATAGTTCTGAACATAATATATGCGGAAATTTTTGTTTAAAAATAAATTTTCAACGTTATGTTGTTGTGCAAGCCAAAACAAAACACGAAAGATCAAGACAAACTCAATAGGTATGTTCTACAAATATTTCAACTCTTTTATAATATAAATGGAGTTCAATCTTTTTAATCTTACACAATTATATTTCATATTTTTCTTCGTTGCTTGAGCTTGATGCAACGCTTTTGAAACCATAGTTTTCGACGATTATTTTTAGGCAATTTACAGTTTATCAATAACTAAATATTTTTGTTTCAAGAACATGAAAACACTTCGTTTACATTGAAGAAAAACGAAACGCGACGAAGAAAGAACTATCATTTTGTAATCTTATAAGATATTAGCAAAACAGTTACGTTCAGAGCATGCAAAAATGTTTTATGAGTAAATTATATTTTCGCGAATCTACTTTGTTTTTACAAGGCTGCACGATTTTCACCGTTTTGTAACTGCAAATTGGCTTTGACAGTTTGTGCCTTCAAGGAACTTGAAATCTATCCCCAAACTACAAATTAGATCTAGACAACAAGACAAAACGTTTTGACGATGAAAACGTAGTAGTTTAGCTTTGTTTATACTTTGTAGTTCGCACTCCTGGCCAAAATTCAAAATGGCGCATTCAAAAGGGCACGCACGGTGAAAAAGTGGAGACCATGAATCGTCATCAGCACGTATTCTATGTCGATTATTTCTATGGTCTATAAATGATATATTATACCGAAAATTAAAACCCTGGAGGGAGGTGCGAATATAAAACTTGCCACATATACCTTCGTGAATATGATGTTTTAGTTTTAGATTAACGCAAGTATCGTCGCTTTTCTTTCGAATCACATACCGTTTGGAATATTGATGATAACATTTTTCAAAATTTGCTTCAAAATTCAAAATTTGTTTCAAAATAAAAAAAAAATAGGTTTGCGTGTTCGCCCCCCGTGGTTTACGTGAATCATTTCACCCGGGTGACATGATCAAATCGCCATGTGATGTGATTCAAGTCTCCCGCTTACGTCAAATAGATGACGTATGGCGCGAATCGATGGTAAATTTCAGGCTCACGTGACACAAACTTAGCTTTCTGATTGGACAATTTGAATTTGAGGTTATAATTTTACTTTATAAACTCAACGATTTTATCATTCACCAGTCAATAAAAGTAATATCCATCGCTGAGAACTGTTGCGAGAACTGTCGAACTTCGTGACGTCTTTCAAGTTTTTTGTTGGCACATTGGATTCTGTTTTGTGAAATAATTACACTCTTTCTAGAAAACATGCAGATAGATCCTGTAACTTACCTGGGGCCGGTTGTATAAAAAAAGTGATTAAAGTTAACTATACTTAGTGGAAATGTCATCCAATAAGAAGCGCGTATTTGAGAGTTAATCACCACTTAACTACAAAATGGTGATTAAAAAAGTGATTAAGAGTTTTATACAACCGGCCTCTGCAATTTAAGTTAGGATTGCGCAAAAATGTCGTCGATTTTTACTATATAGAATGCCATTTAAACATTTTGGGGAATCTAGATATTGGTATATATGTAATGTAGATGCAATTATAATGGTTTTCTTGAAATTTTATTGATATCTATATTGTTATTTCATATATACTGTACTATATATTCATAATTTTGTTAATTAATTTAGACTTGTTGCAAACCATACATTTTTTTACTAATTATGATTATTTTATATCAGATTGTACAGTCAATTCGGGATAGTATAAGCACGCCCCAATGGAAGCATGCTCGGCGCTCGCAGGCTAATAGTATAAATACGGGCTGAAAGTGGGAGTTTACACTGTTAATTTCGAGGAGTCAAATTGACTCCAAAAGTGGAGTAAATAAAAAAGGTACAGAACGTACCTTTGAAAACAAATTCCATGTATCTTATTAGGTCTTTGCAACTTTATAAGTAGAAAATTTGAATAAATATCATTCACATTTGAATGTTTGCTCCCGAAGGATTGAACTTGGCGCTTGGTCTTTGCGTGAACCAGATCGAATTACTACAACACGTGATATATTCTAAACATGCTAATTGGTTAAAAATCTGGAACTTCCACTTGTCGCAAAGTATACTCAGCAGAATTCAGCAGCAGAACATTCCACACGCTCCAATTACAGATTTAGGCAGCAAATAAAAAAATATAGATGACTCGCTGACAATTTCTGGCCACATTCGATCGCCGCGTGTGACGGAAGCCGATATACAGTATAATACATCAATGGCATCAATCTGACTTAGCAACATTTGAGTAACCAAAAACGGAAAATTTAAAAAAAGAATTTATATCTCGAACTTCGTGCTTTTCGCATCTGACTGTATTCAATACTTTAATAGAGTATAGCCTCCAGCAGAAAAACTCTTGGATTCTCAGGCACATTAATTATATATTGTAATAATTTACTCCAGATCCAGAACAACTTTATTCTTTTTTGGGAGTTGAAACGACCCCTGGAGTAAAATTAAGGAGTACAAATTACTCCATTATTTCTACTCCTAAAAGCGAGTTTAGTTTACTCCTCCAGCGGAGTTAAATTGACTCCTGATGGAGTAAATTGTAGAATGCACGCCGAAGTGGAGTAGTTTTAACTCTATTTTGGGAGTAGATTTTACTCCACAATTTTTACTCTCCCGAGTTGAGTAGTTTTAACTCCTATGGTGGAGTTAAAATAACTCCTTGAAATTAACAGTGTAAGAACGACTGTCCGTAAAGATCGAGCAAACAGTGGCAATAGATGAAAAATAGATTTCTTTCATATTTTGCTCAAATTTAGGTAATACCTAGTTATAAATGGTGTTTGGGTTAGATATTCAATATTTGGTCGATAAACGTACAAATATCAGAAATCAAGAATTTGTCTCCGGAAGGCTATAATTAGCCGCAGACAACGCTGTTGCCACGGTCAATTTCATCACTTCGCGACGGATTCAAAACTGCACGTAGATAGTTTTGATTGTTTAATGACTATAATTCAAGTATGAAAGAACAATTTTATCAATATAGAATGGCCCAGGAGGCTTTAACTGGCCTGACAGACGTTGTTGAAATTGGCTATTTTTAGTCAAATTTTACAATTGCATTTTGTCACTGGATTTGAAGGGGAAATTTACTATGTGCGATAATCGTGAATTTGTTTATATTTCATCCACGGAATGGTATAGCATGAGCACATGTTATATATAAAAACTAGCTTGGGTTATTGCCTTGGAGCCTCACACCAGACTTTTAAAAAAGCTCATTTTGGTGATTTCCAGTGGAATGTAACACAATTAAATCATTGGCCCATACGTCTATACCGCAGTCACGAAGCTCAAATTGTTCAAAACCTTGAATTTTGTGTTTCGATATCAATATATATGCTTTCTATACTTTATTAAGAATCGTTTAGAAGGATTTTCAATATATTTTAGTGATAGGCCTACTTTCAACAAAAGTACAACAAATCATCATATTATACTAGACTGTAACGTACGTTGCTATTTATAGCGGGAAACGACAAAACGCGGACCCCAGGTCCATGGACTACCTTCGTGGACCTGGTCCATGGACTACACTCGTGGACCATGGACCACTCTCGTGGACCACTTGCGAAATTTCGCCTACCGAACAATAGACCAAGCACTATTATTCCGAGTTTAGGGAGCCGAGATTGGCGGGAACTATTTCATTATTCATTTCCATTATTTATTTCACAATCAATTCAGTTTTTGTTGATGAACAGTGAATACTAAGTCCGTAAAAATGCTGAAAAAATGTAGTCAGCGTTCCATTAAAAAATATAGGAATACTGTGGAGAATCTGGACGGAAAGGGGTGTGGTCAAAGGATTTTACTGAATTATTCGAATTTTACTGTAAAAAAATCACTTGAACTGTAGAAGTCGTAAGTTCCAATGACCTTTCAATGCCTGCAGGTCCTCTCCCAAAAATATTAATTTTTGAAGCTCGATTACTGCTTTTCTTGCATTTCCTGTAGCGATCGAGAAAAAAAAAACTACCAATTTTAAGGGCATATATTCGGAAACATTGCATTAAAGTCGTAATTGCACGCTTATATTTTAGAACGGTCATGTAGTGAATCGATTTAGAACTTCACATTTTGTGTAAAGTTTCCACAATGATAATAATGACTGAACTCGACTCGAGCACATTTTTGCATGCACAGTCAAGAATTCAAACCCCCCAAATCTTGTGTCTCGCAAGTGGCCCACGAGAGTGGTCCACGAAGGTAGTCCACGGACCAGGTCCACGTAGGTAGTCCACAGACCTGGGGTCCGCGTTTTGTCGTTTCCCATTTATAGCAATTCGCGTGTTGTTACTGAATGTATATTTAAAGTGCCACTGCGATGGAAAATTGTGCTGTCTTTTTATTGTATATTCAGAAAGTATGTCTGTAGATAAACAAAATTACCAAATATCAGCGTCCAATTCCATTTCCTTCTGCCTTTTTTTTCAACGCAAACATGCAAATTTTTCGGCCGCCATTACTGAGTTGCCAATTAGCGAGATGTTGATTTCTTAGCCGGATGTGACGTCATTTACTCAACACGCTTCTTTCCTGAAGGAGAAATTAATATTATCAAAGGCTTATACTAGGCTGTTTTTTGTTCAAAATTATGTCTTCTGACGAAAGCCACAGCTCAAATTTTGCAACACAATCATCTTGCGAACTCTCTTTTGCCGAAGACGTTTCTTGTGATAGCGGGGGTGATGTAAATATGTGTGGATTTGTGCGAGGCCTATGATACTTCAGTCGAAGCTTTTGCCACTGAAACGAAAAGTACTATAACTGAGAGAGAGCAAGAGCAGCAAACACTGTCTGCTGAATTGTCTGGGGAAACCTTAACGGGCACCTGGTACGTTTTGGATTGTATTTATTTACGTTTTGGTTTATATATTTGTGACATAAAACAAACATGTGATGGCCATGTTTAACAAAACAAATGGTCACTGGTCTCCTTATAAAAAATCATTGTCACCTCCGTTATATTGCACGAAACGTCTTCAATGAGAGATGGCTTAAAGATGACTGTGTTGCCAAACTGGAAATCCTAACTCACGTAAGAACACATATTAATTTGCACAAAGTTGTGTGAAATATATTTCAATTATATATATTAATAAATATATTATAAACTTCAATAGTATACTTCAATAGTAACTGTGTCCTGGCTCATTGTTGTTTATGTGAACCTTGTAAGAAAAAATGCTGGAAGAAAACATGCATGACCAGCATTTGATATTGGTTGTATTTGAATACCTTCTGGAAATATCAAGACTTTTAGTATACCCCCATTCCATTGGAAATCTTGATGCAATGGTCAACACCACCCCCTATCCTCTTGAATTTCCGATCTCTTCTGTAGCAGGGTGGGGTGTGGGGGGGGGGGTATGGCTATTTCCTGGAACTATGCAATTTGACTGAGTCATGTAGGAGTAATTTTTGGCATTAAGCATTCCCTCAAAAGGCAACC